TGTATTTGGTCATGGAATGAAGACGACCCTCCACTGTTCGAGAGAACTTAATGTTCTTGGGCATGTTGCAACTGGCACTGCGGTGGTAAGACTCATTGGCATTTGTGTCAGTCAGCAGCTTCATGGCGTTGATGGCTTCTACACTCAGTTTCATTTTAAGGATTTCTGTCACAATTTTAATGTCATTTTCACTCATTTGCAGGGCGGTGATCTTATAAACGGCCAAATTGCGGCTGAAGTTCCACCAGTTGGAAACGCACCCACCATCACACACAAGCGAGTACGCCGCACACATTGAACAGTCACCGGTGTAACAGAGGACAGTGGCCTCAAGGACTTTAGGTAAGAAATCACTCATTTTCTGCAAGTCTCTGTTAAATCTTGTAAACAGTTCTTTAACTATCAAAGCACATCTTGACTTTAGATCATTGCTGAACACCCTCTGAAGCTCTTTCTTCTGTTCTTTAGTCTTAGTATGGAACATTGCATCGCTGTAAACTGCTCGGTTGCTGGCACGGAACTGTGACTGCCCAAGGTGGACGGGGTCAGCAAGACGCTCTACTTTCCATAGGGGATGTAGAGCTCGCATGGCTTCGTCCACTCCTTTGGCACCTTGGGCGTCGCCGTCTGTGGTAACATACCGGACTAATATATCTTGTAGTGCGAGCTGTGTGCCGATGTCCTTCCCCATCTCGTACTCGGAAAATGGTGCTGCCCGTGGTAGATTGGAGGTACACTCAGGATGGCCACCTGGACAATCCACTTCCATTCCCTTGCCCCTCAGCCATGCACCTGTCCAGCACAGTTTATTTTGCAGAGCACAGGCAAGTATGTATTTTCTGTCAGTGTTGGTTTCAACAGCCAATGAGAAGGCTTGACTGGCATTCTGTCCGGGAGTCGTACGGCTGAACATGATGTTACTGTTGTAACGGGCATCTGTTGAGATGTTAATGACATCCTCTGGATGGCCTCGGGTCCTGTTGATCTGTTTTACTTTCTGTATCTTCTGATGCATATCCTCCTTGTTAAGCTTTGTAATATTCTTACTTGTTTTGAACAGGAGCTTCTGGAGAGAGGCCTTAGTGGGAGGCGGGATGTCCATGCAGCTAAGGAATTCTATAACTTTCTCAGAACCTAGTGAGGTGTCCTGAAGGGCATATGCCAGGGCCATGTTTGATGCTGAAACTCTGCGACCAGGACCCACTTGATGGATTTCTTGGTACAGGGCAAACTCGGGTGAGTTGAACTGGCAATTAACACAAGTCAGTGAGTATTTCCAGGAAATTCCTACTTTTTTTGAATGCAGCACAGTAATGTTCGGTGCGGTACATGTGGTAGACTGATGAAGTTGTAAGGTTTGATTAATCATTTCTATCATCTTCTCTTCGTCCACTATACGTCGACCGCCTAAGTATTCACTACTCTTTGGTATTTGTTTTTGGCAGTTCAGTGTACTTGGGCGTAGAATACAGGTTGATCCACTCTCACCGTCACAGTTTGGAGTTTGGTAGGACTGGCTGTCGAGACTTGGTTTGGTGACCAGGGCATGATCTGTTGAATTCAGCCTGACAAATGATCGTTGACCAGAATTTCTCCGAACATCCGTCTTGAAGCGGCCATGGCAATTTCCTTGACGAAATTCTCCTTTTCTCGGGATCTTCCTCTTGCAGAGTTGCTTCCCTTTGTTCCATGGAGCCATATTTTTCTCAAACATGTTGGTGAGTAGAGTAACACTTATTCTTACAGATTTAAGCAATGATGCCTGGAATTGTCTTTGCTCACCCATATTTATGGGGCTTAATGTTTGATTAACCTTAGGATGGCATCTTGTATGTATCTATGACATTTTTAATGTGAACAGGATAATCCAGCATGACCTGTAAGTGCCACTTCCTAATATTGGCTGCTGTGGTCATGTTTGCTTATCTGCTCATAACAAAGGGATTAATCTATTTATATTTTCTTGTAATGTTGTATTTTATAAGCAATATAATGTAGAATTTTTAGATATTTTTATTTATGTAAATTTCTATTGATTAATATTTTTTAAATGGCAATTTTTAAGAAATTTCATCATATTTTGGGGTAATTTTTAAAAAAAATCTTAAAAATATTTTTCTACATAATTGATCAAAGTTGGGATTAGAATTAAGTAAAAGAGATATTGATACAATAAATAAAGAGAATTAAAAAAAAAAATTCTTGCAGCATATGTGATATGTGAGCATTTCAAAAATGTGTATTGTGTGTCTGATGCAATATTTCATCCTCTGTTTTCAGCAGATCCAGCACATCACTTCAAAGGGCCATAACTCTGCTGTTCAGATGACAAATCCAATGAGACTTCAGAGGTATGTAAAGTATGACTATAGAAGTTTATGTACCAATTTTCAGGAAAATCAAAGAAGGTTTGTGTCCTTATTAGGTTACAGGCTACTAATTTTACCCCTATTTCATTGACCACGCAAAGAGTTCCAGTTTAAAAATAGAGGTTTTTTCTAAAAAATTCTTTGGGGTATAAATGGGGTGAAATGGGGTTATTTAAGGGCATAGATGGAAAGGAGAGGGTCTGAAAAAAATATGAAATTTAGAATAATGGGAATTTTGCTATTAGGTGCATAGTAGGAAGGGGGTGAAGAGGCCATTGTTTACCTGTTTTTCAAAGGGAAATGAAAATATGCAGGGTAGGGGTTACTTGCCGTTCCATAGAAAGACTTGGGTGCGATGGATTTTTCTGAGATTTGGAAATATTTTTGGACTTGAATGGTTCTAGCTCTGTGCTGAATTTCAGGTGAGTTGATCTGTTGAATTTTTTTAGATTAATTTTTATGTTATAAAGGGATATATAGCAAAATAATTGGTAGTCTGTGTCCTATACCATGCGGAAAAAAGTACCGTTACTTAAGTTTGACAGCGGAAAACATTATTTTCTTATCCTCTCAATATGTATGACACTGTGACTTTTATGAAGATGTCTCCTCCCTCTTTCTAGTCCATCTTAAAGACATAAATTAGAATGGACATTTGAATGAATGTGTTGCTGTAGTAAACTAACAAACGTTAGGTCTAAGAAGTTGTAATTTCAGTGAGCACAAATCTCCCTTCTATAAGTTTGAGCCTTTTTTTCAGTGTACAACCCAGAAGATCGTCTAGCTTTCAAGCTGTTGTAAATGTTTGTCTTTGAGAAATTCCTTTTTATGTGTATTTTTTGTCCTTCCTACATATACATGTAAATATGTATTCCTTAGGCATGACAGATATTGCTCGACATACACTGGAGTTTCTTTATGAAGAGAATGGAGGAATACCACGAGATCTCCAACCACTATAGAGAACATTGAGGAGGATCTAGCTAAGTTTACAATAGAGAGAGTGAGGAAGGGCACCACCGCGGTGATCAGGAACACCGCAGAAACCTACACCGCAGGCACCGCAGTGCTGCCCAAGTTTGCTGTCCGCGGTATGCTCAAAACATTTGGTCTGACTGGAAATGTCCTAGATGTTGACAATGTAAGTCTCTCATTTATCATTATTTATGTTGCACATGTAAGTTGAGCATTTGTAAAAGTCAATTGTTTTCAAGCTGGAGAGTAGATATAAGGCAATGGCATAAAAAAAAAATGAAAATTTTGTAATATGAGTACAGCAAAACTCGTTTAGTACAAACACGGATATTGCGAATTTACGGATATACCTAAATCATCTTGGATCCCCACAAATGTAAAATTGATCGATTTCTTGTACGGTTATAACGAATTACTAATATAGCGAAGTAAATATATAGGTCCCAGTGATTTCGTAATAACAAGTTTTGCTGTATTTCAAAATGCCTCATTCATTCCATTTCAGTCTAATGAGATAGTACAAGTTGAGGTGTACCTGAGAAGTGAGGGTGTCCTGGTCAAGTTCTGGTACCCTGATGTTAGAGAGTCCCTCAGGGACTGAGAAAGTCCAGCATCACCAGGAGATGTTAGAGAGGCCCCCACAGGGACTGAGAAAGTCCAGCATCACGGGGGACTGAGATAGTCTAGCATCACCGGGGGATGTTAGAGAGGCCCTCACGGGGACTGAGAAAGTCCAGCATCACCGGGGGATGTTAGAGAGGCCCCCACAGGGACTGAGAAAGTCCAGCATCACCGGTGGATGTTAGAGAGGCCCTCACGGGGACTGAGAAAGTCCAGCATCACTGGGGGATGTTAGAGAGCCCCTCACAGGGACTGAGAAAGTCCAGCATCACCGGTGGATGTTAGAGAGGCCCTCACGGGGACTGAGAAAGTCCAGCATCACTGGGGGATGTTAGAGAGCCCCTCACAGGGACTGAGAAAGTCCAGCATCACCGGGGGATGTTAGAGAGTCCCCCACAGGGACTGAGAAAGTCCAGCATCACCGGGGGACAGATACTGGACACTTCTAATGTCTTCATACACAGGTCAGAAAACGGAAAAGGGATATCACAATAGAACAAATAAAATCAGATGCTTTCTTTTGTGTAACTTATGCACTGAAAATCTTGAATTTTGTTGTGAAGTCTTATTAAGTGAAAAGCCCAGTGCAATGTGTTGTTGTTGACTCTGAATGTAATTGTTTGATTATTTTACAGAGAGCTGTTGAGTAGTGAGTCATTGCTGGCCAAGATGTTCTGAAGGACAGCTCTGTTAAAACTGATCGACCACTGTAACTCTCCAGCTATATCGAGATTGTCTCCTGTTCTGCCAGTCTCGGCTCAGGAATGGCTGCCAGTGCTGCCCTCCAACAGTTAGACATTGAAAACCTTCAATTATTGTCCAATGAACTTTTATGTCCACCTTTAACCCATGGCACTGTCATGGCAACAAATTTAACAACTTCACCCTCATTGGTTCAGTGCTTAGCCAATCAGATGTGTTCTCTTACAAAGATATTGTTTAAAGATGAGGATATTTATAGTTAAGGAAAAAGAGTACCAATTTAAAGACCCAGATTTTTACATCATTTCCTGGTTGAACAAGATGAAGCAGAATAATAAATGGGTAGGCTTTACCTGATTGGCTGAATTCAGGTATGTAAATATTTTCATTTTAAAGCAAAATAGTATGGAAAGCCGTAACTGCCTTATGTGGAGAACTTTCATTATATGCTGTTACTTTGTCATTATATGATGGTACATGTATTTTATCATATATGCTGGTACTTTGTCATTATATGCTGGTATTTTATCATTATATGATGGTATTTTATCATTGTATGATGGTGCTTTGTCATTATATGATGGTATTTTATCATTATATGATATGGTATTTTGTCATTTTATGATGGTACTTTGTCATTATATGAGTGTATTCTGTCATTATATAATTGTATTTTGTCATTATACTACTTTTCTTTATACTACTTTTCACTATACTACTTTTCATTATACTACTCAAATTTCTTTATACTACTTTTCATTATACTACTTTTTATTATACTACTTTTCTTTATACTACTTTTCAATATACTACTTTTCATTATATGCTACTACTTTTTCGTCATTATTTGTAGTCTCGATCAACCAGACGCTTGTCTATAATACAAAGTCTTGACTACTGGAAGTTGAAAATAACTGCAAATTTGACCTATAAACGCCACGGCATGGTATGTATTTTTCAGTGTTTTTAAAAATTGCTTAGAATGTAGTTTCAAATGATACCAGGAACTTGTTGGAAAGGGAAATAGTACAGCACTGGGAGGACAAGAGATTTGTATAGAGTTCTATGGGAAAATAATTGGAACTCTTTTCCCTATAGAGACCCCATTTTTGAAATGTCACGTGACTTTAAAGACAAAATAAGTAAATGTTGTTTATAACGAATGATTTAAAGATGGGAGACATTTTTGAGAAGCTGAAATTGAATTTAGCAAAAAAGAGTGAGAGGGTGGGGGGAGGGGAGGGGAGGGGGATTGTATACTGTGGAGAGGGGGGACCAATAGTAAGGGGTATGGGGTCATGAGGGTCACATGGCCAGAGGAGGGTAGGAAGGTAGAGCTGGTGCATCGGGTTGCTCTTATGGTAGAGATGCGTCAGACCAAGTCTCAGTTTCCAGGTAGGGGACTGGAGGTCAGCCATCTCTGCCATAAGAAGTTGTGTATCAACCTGATGCACCTGACAGGGGAGCAGCATGCCATCAATCAGGAGAGGATTCACTGCGTAGGCCAGGGTTTTTGTACTGAGGCCCACTACCCCAAGTGCATTTTTTAAAGTAATTTTTTTTTATTAATAGAAATATTTGATAAATATAAAAATATTAATCACTCAATTTAGAATAGTTGTGTTCAGGGTACTTTTTTTTCTGAGCTCGGGTTCGGGATTCCACTAGCATCATATTTTTTTTATATTTGACTTCTTCCTGGTGTTTTTCATACAGTTTGTACAGTTTTTTGCATTTAATAACCCTTTTTGTTTTGTAGGACTGTGATTTCTGATTTGATTTACTTAACTCATAATCTTTTTGTATCTTATCTAGGGTATGGTCAACCTGGCCACCAGTGGGAATGGGTGCACCAACACCTGCACAGAGACCTCTGATGGAGCTGCCCGGACCGTGATTAGAAGAGTGAGCAGCACTGTGCACCCGACCAGCAAAGTTTTTCGTTAAAGTAACATTATGAGGCAGGGATCGTCGCAGAGTTCTGTTGAAGCTTTCGACCTTTTGTGAGTTGCTGTTTTTGATCGTCCTGTCCAGTACAGCTGGAGACAACCTCTTTGAGATGTAGGCATGGAGCCTTGCCTCGTTCTTGACAAAAGACGGTATTGTGAAATCATGACCTGAATAAGAAACTCTTCCTAACCCAATTGTTACTAACTCTGCCTTTGCACACTAGAGAGTGCTCTCTGCATGATGCATGATCCTCCATGTAACACCTCACTGTTGCATGTTTGGAATAAGATATTTTGTCTTTCATTTCATCTGTATCTCCGGCATATGCTGCTTGGGCTTGGTTTATCTCTGCCATGCATCTGTCAACAGCATCAAGGGCAAAGTTGTACAAAAGTTTGGTTTTTTCTGCCTTGGTTCTTTTTGGGATGACCTCTAAGAGTTTTTGATCTTTTTTAATTGACTTTCTGATATTTTCAGACAAGTGACGAGTGTCAATATAATGTACTGGTTTATCTTGTAGCAAACCGTCCTTGTAGAGGGAATCTGCAGCTCGACCAGCCGAGCTGTCCGGGTCAGTGGTTACCTCCCTTACCTCGAGGTCATCTTTGCAGAGGAGTTCCGCCATTCCCTCCCGAGCTCATGTCAACTCATCCCCTATGGTATGCTGCATGGGTAGGTTTGCCCCACACACCCCAGGACTACATTGGTGGTTAGCAGTACCCTCCTCCAGTAAGTGGCCATGTTTTGAACAGATTTTATTATTTGTAACCATTTTAACAATTTGGTGTTTTGATGTGACATTTTCAGCAAATGAGTACACAGTCTGTGTCACCAGCTGGAAGGGTGTCTCACCCATCCCCGAGTACAGGGGGTTATTGTACATGCCATCACACTGTACAGGGATGGCATGTGGGGAGCCACTTCCCCTTAGAGTGTTGACATCCACCAGCTGGAGACACCAGTTACTCATGTCAGCTTCATTTAGGGTCTCTATTATGGGCATAATTTTATTTGATGTTTTTTGTAGGGACCTACGAGAAGGAGGGGGAGTGTTAGTAGAAAGAAGAATTTTCCTCATCCCGTCATTGCCTATGGGGGTTTGACTTAGGCCCACCTGAAGCCCGTGATTAACAGTTGCAGCTTTTCTACCTTGGGATTTGGACTCTACCTCCTCATACAGATTGTACCGCCTCGACGTGTAGCCGCACTTGGTGCAGTAGAGGCCCAATCAGCTTCCCAGGCCTCGCCTCTCTTCGGTAGCCAGGTACCGGTCCATCACAGCCTGGTTCCTCATGCTGGTGGACTCGCATGACCTCATTCCACATCTCGGCTGTTTTTCTTAGATGTAGGAGTCTATGGGAATTTTGGTTAGCCAGCCTAGGTAAATATTCAATGTTTCATTTACTTTAAACAGTTGGCATTGTGCAGAGCATGTGAATAGATTTTAGAGTTACTTCCCTTAGACTATCTAACAAGACATAGAGAAATTTAACATTGTGTAATTTTTTTCTCTTGCAATTATTACTTTTAAATTTTTGTGAAATACTGATAAGGCTTTTAACTGCATGTATCAAATTTAACCCTTCATGTATTTACATGTATTTACATGTATTTACATGTATTTACATGTAATTATGTGTAACCTGTACCCTACCCTTATTTAGACTTTTTTTTAGTATTTAGGTAATATTTAGATATATAATGCTTAATTTTAAAGAATATTTTGAGAAAAAGTGATAATTGTGATTAATTTTTTTGAAATTTGACTTACTGTTCTGATTCGCTCTCATTTAGGCCCTCCTGAACACTTTCATTGTTTGGCTTCCTTGGCCTGAGGAGGTGGTGGCACTTGGGTCGCACCCTCATTTCCTGCCTTTCAGCAGCTGAGGGAGTCACCGTCACCATCTGATGCATGTCCTCAGACAGTCTCCTGTACGGTGCAGGTAAATTTTCCTTTTGCTTACTTTCCACCCCCTTATTGTGATTTGTGAGGCACATTTTGGGGTTTGAAACCGCACTTGTTACCTTTTTGGAATTTTGGCATTTCTTTAAGGTAGGATTCTTCTCATATTTCTAATATTTAAGAATTAATGAAATTTTCACAGAATCAAGAAGACAATATCAGTATAAGTGATAGAATCAGTGAAATTAAATTTGACCGTTTTATATTATCATCTTCTTCTCAAGAACCACCTGGCCAATTTCAACCAAACTTGCCACAAAGTATCCTTGGGTAAAGGGGATTCAAGTTTGTTCAAATGAACGGCCACACCCTTTTCCAAGCAGAGATAATTATGAATTAGAGAAAAATTAAAGGCATTTATAAAAAAATCTTCTTCTCAAGAACCACTAGGCCAGGAAAGATGAAACTCATGTGGAATCATCCTCAGGTAGTGTAGATGCAAGTTTGTTCAAATCATGACCCCCGGGGCTAGGGTGGGGACAAAATGGCCGATCAATGTTTTACATTGGAATATATAGGAAAAATCTTTAAAAATCTTCTTCTCAAGAACCACTGGGGCCAGGAAAGATGAAACTCATGTGAAATCATCCTCAGGTAGTGTAGATTTAGGTTTGTTCAAATCATGACCCCCGGGGCTAGGGTGGGGCCAAAATGGCTGACTTTTATGTATCATAATTGTGTACATATGAAAATTTTTGATTATACTGTATATTTTATATTGTCATGGATGTTTGTAAAAAATCTGAAACTTTTTTGATATGTAGATACATATGAGGACTATTCATATCACATAGGAAAGACGATTTGTTTACTTTTCTAGGATGGCAGTATGGTACTTTAGTGAGTGGAACAGGAATTGTTATTGGTGTATCAGACAAAGGTAGATTCTCCACATATTTCCACGCTCTGATGGAGGTTAATCTGGCAGTGATGAGTTGCAATATGAGGATTGATTCAAACCTCCTCCCAGTCTCAGAGCTCAGTCCTCCTCCTCATCCTCAACTCTGGAGACTGCATCCTCTTCTTCTCTACATCCCCTCAGCAGTCCCACATCTTCTGCCAAGAGGAAGAAACTCGAAGCAAAAAGACATAAAGAGAGAGGAGGAGCCGTGCCTAAGACATCCACCCCTGCTCAGCGTACAAGTGAGAGCGACTCCTCCATGTCTCTGAGCCCAGCGACTTCTTCGGATGTGACTCCGTCTTCTTCCTCTGCCTCAGCGGCCTCTGCTTCCCCCTCCACCTCTGGGACTTCCTTGGCCACTGCTGGGAGTGATCCTGGAAAGGGGGATCCTAGTGGAACAAATGTCAAAATGGAGGATATACTGTGGTTACACAGAGCTGTCACTGTATCCAAAATCCTCAGGTAGCTATTTTAAAGCTTGTGTTAATAGTTTTGTTGATTTCAGGTTACAATTGAAGGAAAAGTATGCATTTTCAGAATTATGGATTCAATTCTCTCTTGAAGTTAAATCAAAAGTTGAAAAATGTTTTCCTCTTCAGCAAACCTAAGTGAGTGTGTGTTTTTACAGGTGCTTGGGATTCAAGGAGAAGCATGGGAGTCGTCTCGTCAGTTCTGTGTGAGACTGCCCGGCGACCTGGTTGTGTCCAGCCTACAGACAGCTGCTGACTGTTCCGTCTCGTCAGTTCTGTGTGAGACTGCCCGGCGACCTGGTTGTGTCAGGCCTACAGACAGCTGCTGACCGTTCCGTCTAGTCAGTTCTGTGTGAGACTGGCCAGTGGAGGAGACCCGACCTACACCTTCAATGTCCACCTAACGGGGGAGGAGGTCCATGGAACTAGTATGTCAACATCAAAAATATATGTAGTACTGTATGCAGGAAAATTTTCGCCACAGTTTTATTTTCGCCCCTTTAGCCCTTTCCTTGATTGGGTGAATTTAAAAGGGGTGAATTCAAAGAATATCATATAATTTCTTTAACAAAACTGACTGGGCGAATTTTGAACAGGGCAAAATTATTTGCAAGTGTGAAAGGGCGAAAATAAAGCGGGGCAAAAATAACCCTGTATACAGTATTCTGACAGAAATTAAGACAACTGGTATTATTAGCAAAATGATGAAATATTTACTTGTAGTTGCAAATTGGATGGAAGAATTATATTTTAGACCCTGGTCATACATTATAGAACTCTATGATGAATTGATGATAGGAATTTGGACCTAGAGTATGATTTCTTGCAGATAAGAAAAGCTGCACTCACAATCCTTTAAAATTTATTTACATTCTAGTAAATATGTCTGGACATGCAAATTTATATGGCCATTGTTTTCTTTTTAAGGTGGCTCCTTCTGACTTAAGGTGGCTCCTTCCGACAGTTTTTAGCTCTACTGGTCAGAGACCAGAAGAGCTTATGCGATAGTAATGAGTCCGTCGTCCGTCCGTCTGTCTGTCTGTCCGTCTGTCTGTCTGTCTGTAAACAATTTTTCAAAATGCTACTCCTCCTACAGTTTTGGTCCGATTTCAATATAACTTGGCACACAAGTAAACTACACTAAGATACATAATTTTGTGCATCGGTTTTTGATTTCGATGAACGGTGTCGCCGTGGTTACTAAAAATAGAAATTTCTGTGAAATTCTTTCAAAATGCTACTCCTCCTACAGTTTTGGTCTGATTTCAATATAACTTGGCACAAAAGTAGACTACACTAAGATACATAATTCTTTGCATCGGTTTTTGATTTCGATGAACGGTGTTGCCGTGGTTACAAAAAATAGAAATTTCTTTGAAATTCTTTCAAAATGGTACTCCTCCTACAGTTTTGGTCCAATTACAATATTACTTGGCACACAAGTAGACTACACTAAAATACATAATTCTGTGCATCGGTTTTTGATTTCGATGAACGGGGTTGCCGTGGTTACTAAAAATAGAAATTTCTTTGAAATTCTTTCAAAATGCTACTCCTCCTACAGATTTGGTCCGATTTCAGTATAACTTGGCACACAAGTAGACTACACTAAGATACATAATTCTGTGCATCGGTTTTTGATTTCGATAAACGTTGTTGCCGTGGTTACTAAAAATAGAAATTTCTGTGAAATTCTTTCAAAATGCTACTCCTCCTACAGTTTTGGTCCAATTTCATTATAACTTGGCACACAAGTAGACTACACTAAGATACATAATTCTGTGCATCGGTTTTTGATTTCAATGAACGGTGTTGCCTTGGTTACTAAAAATAGAAATTTCTGTGAAATTCTTTCAAAATGCTACTCCTCCTACAGATTTGGTCCGATTTCAGTATAACTTGGCACACAAGTAGACTACACTAAGATACATAATTCTGTGCATCGGTTTTTGATTTCGATAAACGGTGTTGCCGTGGTTACTAAAAATAGAAATTTCTGTGAAATTCTTTCAAAATGCTACTCCTCCTACAGTTTTGGTCTGATTTTGATATAACTTGGCATACAAGTAGACTACACTAAGATACATAATTCTGTGCATCGGTTTTTGATTTCAATGAACAATGTTGCCATGGTTACTAAAAATAGAAATTTCTGTGAAATTCTTTCAAAATGCTACTCCTCCTGCAGTTTTGGTCTGATTTCAGTATAACTTGGCACACAAGTAGACTATACTAAGATACATAATTCTGTGCATTGGTTTTTATTTTGATGAGTGGCAAGGATCATTTTTCTATTTATTGCTGATTTAAAGTCTCAAGTCCCAACTGCTACTTTTCTCTTCCTTTGTTTTAAGTATAAACCAGTAGAGCTACAGTCTCGACAGAGACTTCTGGTTATGGCAAGCTGCCAAAGAAATCAGTGGCCCCCTGGTGCGTTTACTGATTCCCAGCAATAACTCGGACAACAAAGGTCGCTACATCTTCAGACCCGGCCCCATTGTCCTACATAGAGAAAGGGCTTCTACAGTTCTTTGGTTAAGTAAGATTTGTTAAAATACTTGACAATATTCATGGTCTTGTAAGAGCACAAATTTTATTGAAAAAGGATGATTGTTTTGAAAAAATGGAAATTTTAACTTAGGGATAAAAGTGCTTGCATCCTTATTCACATTGCTCTTTGCACTAGGTATTGACAAAATATGTTTTGTTTTGAGATTGGATTTATGATCACCATAGTTTTCTAACATTGGTCATTTATGTGCAGTTGTTAGGTACAACAATGCGGGCAGATTCTAAAGTATTTAAATCTTGTTAGGGGAGGGGTAGGGGCACGATAGGTATAGCAAGAGGGGAAATCTGGTAAAGAACTGCATCACCCAAGTTACTCAGGTAAGCGATGTGGCCCATGGGCCTCTTGTTTGGGGCAGTTTTCTTTTAAAGTACTTCTATGTCCTATATTGATTAGACATGCATGGAAGACGTTTCTAGTGTGTTTCATTGTACCAGTCAAACTTTCAGATGCTGCAATGACCAGGTTAATGTTTTTGGAGCAGGTTAACATTTTTGATGCAGTTTTAAGCTCACCTGAGCCGAAGGCTCAAGTGAGCTTTCCTAATCACATTTTGTCTGATGTCCGTCTGTCTGTCTGTAATCTTTTCACATTTTTGACTTCTTCTCAAGAACCACTGGGCCAATTTCAACCAAACTTGCCATAAAGCATTCCTGGGTAAAGGGGATTCAAATTTGTTCAAATGAAAGGCCACACCCTCATTCAAGGAAAGATAATTGGGAATTAATGAAAATTTGGTGGAATATTTTAAAAATCTTCTTCTCAAGAACCACTGTGCCAGGAAAGAAGAAACTTATGGGGAAACATCCTCAGGTAGTGTAGATTTAAGTTTGTACAAATCATGACCCCCGGGGGTAGGGCGGGGCCAAAATGGCCGACCAAAGTTTTACATAGAAATATATAGGAAAATTCTTTAGAAATCTTCTTCTCAAGAATGACAAAGCTATGAACTCATCATATTTATTTGGAAGCATGCTCAGGTAGTGTAGATTCAAGTATATTCATATCATGACCCCCGTGGGTAGGGCGGGGCCAAAATGGCCGACCAAAGTTTTACATAGAAATATATAAAAAAAATTCTTTAAAAATCTTCTTCTCAAGGATGGCAAAGCCATAATTCATCATATTTGTATGAAAGCATGCTCAGGTACATGTAGTGTAGATTCAAGTATGTTCAAATCGTGACCCCCAGGGGTAGGGCGAGGCCAAATGGCCTTCCAAAGTTTTTCATAGAAATATATAGGAAAATTCTTTAAAAATCTTCTTCTCAAGAATGACAAAGCCATAATTCATCATATTTGTATGGAAGCATGCTCAGGTAGTGTAGATTCAAGTTTGTTCAAATCATAACCCCTGGGGGTAGGGGCAAAATGGCCAACCAAAGTTTTACAAAGAAATATATAGGAAAATTCTTTAAAAATCATTTTCTAAAGAATAGCAAATCTATGATTGTTCATGGGACTACTTTTGGAATTAAACTTTACAATAATAAACCAATTTCTACTTTTTCCTAGCCTTAGTGCTCAGATGAGTGATATGGCTCATGGGCCTCTTGTTGGTGTAGGTCTCATTTTCGAGTAACTATAAGCCCTGTGTTGACCAAACTTGCATGGGTGGTACATCATAGAATGCACACTAGTCTACCAGGCTTGCTTCGGATGCTAAATTTGACCGACATTTTCCGCTTGAGTGAACAGGTTTATGTTTTTGGTGCAGGTCTCATTTCCAAGTAACTATGAGCACTATAGTGACCAAACTTGCATAGATGATGCATCTAGGGATGCATACTTACAGACTTGCTTCGGATGCTGAATCTGACCTACATTTTCCGCTTGAGTGAACAGGTTTAAGTTTTTGGTGCAGGTGTCATTTCCAAGTATCTTAGAGCCTCATAATGACGGAACTTGCATGGATGGTACATCTAAGGGTGCCTTCTACCAGGTTGGCTTCAGATACTGAATCTGACCTACATTTTCTGGATAAGTGATTAGCTTTTTATACAAGTTTTATTTCCATGTAACTTTGAGCTCTATGTTGAGCAAACTTGCATGGATGATACATCTTAGGGTGCACACTAATGGACTTGCTTCATATTCTGAATTCGACATACATTTTCCAGATCATCAACCTCTTAAAAGGTATGCATGGTTATGGGTAGAGGTCTATTACCAAGAAACTATTAGGCTTATATAAACCAAACTTGTACAAATGATGCATCAAGGGATGAAAACTCTCAACCTTGTTCAGATGCTGGATTTTAATTACATTTTCATGAAGAAGAACTAGTTTTAAGTTTTTATATAGATCTATTCTAAAATATCAAATCAAAATTGCATAAATTTTGCATTTTTGGATGTACACTTTTTGTTGGATAATTGTTTTGACTTTGCCTTACCGGTACTTAAAGACAACATTCGTTGAGGTGAGCTCTGTATAATCTCTGATTACCTATGTTTATCTATTTTCACTCGTGCTTTGCATATAAAAAAATCCTGCCCAACTAAGAAATAAATTCCATACTCAACTGCTACAAATAAATATCCTCTTTAAATTTAGCAGAATTATCCCACTGAATTAAAGGGAACTAATATTTTTAGGTGCACATGATGCAGCTTCCTGGATGGTGTATAGGCGTTTGTCAACATGTGAAACCCACGTGTATTTTGGGGTAGGTATATACATGTATGTACATGTATTTTGTCAATTATTAGCTCTTCTGAGCCACAGGCTCAAAGAGCTAATGCTATGGGCATTTGTGCGGTGTCACTGCCTAAACCTTTTAGAATATGGGCCATAATTCAAGAACCCCTTAGCCAATCAGTCTCAAATTTGTCACAGGGTATACTAGGCCCAAGGCCGGCTACCATTTATAGCAAAATAAGGGTTGGGACCCTTAAATAAGGGGAGATAATCATGAAAAAAACCCAAAAGTATTAGTTGCTAAAAATCTTCTTCTCTAGAACCTCCAGGCAGATTTTCACCAAACTTACATACAAGGATCAGGATATGTCGAAGATTGAAAATTGCACAGGGAATTAGCCGGGGGCAAAGGGCGTGGTCTCAAGGTCACTTCAAAGTTGACCCAAATTTACAATTAATAAATGTTTATATTTTACTTACTATAAGGACTAGGATCATCAAAACTTGTAAGTTGATGCAATTTAGGACTTCACATCATGTAAGAACAAAAGTAGGTCACGGTGACCTACTTTTTGAACTTTATGCTTTATGACTAATCCCTTTTGAAAAAATTTAATCCCATTATTTCAGACACTGAGAGGTTTAGAATCATCAAATCTTGTAAGTTGATGCATCTTAGGACCTTAATACATATGTATAAAAAAAATTAAGTCACTGACCTACTTTTTAAATTTTGCAGGCATCTGTTTTCAAATTGAATTGAAGGCATATTTTGGACACTTTAAGGCCTATGATCATCAAACTTTGTCAGTTGATGCATCTTGGGTCCTTGAACAATGTTAACTTAAAAGTAGGTCACCTTGACCTACTTTTTGAACTTTATGACTAATCCTTTTTAAAATATTTAATCACATTAATTTAGAAATCATCAAATCTTGTAAGTTGATGCATCTTGAGACCTTAAAACTAGTGTTGGCAACGAGTACCCGGCTAATCGGTTAACCGTCGAACGATGCGAGTATCGTTTAGTAAAACTGCTATTCGGTTGCGCCCCTGGTCTAGATTTTTTTAAAGAATTAATCTTTATTTTCTTTTTCATAAATGATGGTATATTAAGTAGAATTTTTTGTAAATTAATTTTGGCATTATTAGCGAGGATGCTGAAGTCGCTAAAATTGAATATCGCTAAAAATTAATTGCATGTGAGACCTTAATACTTGTATTTATAATAAATAATAAAGTAAAAAAAATAAAGTAATTGAATTTCTTCAGTCTAAAAATTGGCAAAATGAGAATGTTTCTATCAATATCATCATAAATAAGGTACCGGAAATGCTTTGTTCTTTAAATATATCATGGTAAATAATGTATTCATTGTGTTTCTGTAGTGTTGGACAACTGAAGCCTTGCCTTGTATTTCTCAAACTGGAGCTGTTGGGATGGAGTTCTGAGACATTTTTCCTAAAGGTGTCTTTCCAAGAATTCTGATGGAGCCTGGAGAAGAGTTTGGAGATATTTTAGCTTTCCGTGTTCTTCCAAGGATTGTCTATTGGTCTTGAGATAGACTCAGGAGATATTTTCACTTTTCATTTGAGATAGACTCAGGAGATATTTTCGCTTTTCATGTGAGATAGACTTGGGAGATATTTTCGCTTTCCATGTGAGATAGACTTGGGAGATATTTTCGCTTTCCATGTGAGATAAACTTGGGAGATATTTTTGCTTTCCATGTGAGAAAAACTGACATGAGATATTTTAACTTTCCGTGTTCTTCCAAGGATTACCATTTAGCCTAGAGCAGAGCATTTTAACCACCAGAATACTCTTTGAAGAAACCTTAGACTTGAATATTGCAGATATTGGTTTTCAGAACTTTTTCAATATTGTATACTTTACAGTTTCTATTATATAACTAAATTGGGTTATAAGGGCTATGGCAATATCCTAGTATTGTATACTTTACAGTTTCTATTATATATCTGGGTTATATGGGCTATGGCAATATCCTAGTATTGTATACTTTACAGTTTCTATTATATATCTGGGTTATTAGGGGGATGGCAACATCATAGTATTGTATACTTTACCGTATTTTTAACTATCTGGGATTATTGGGGCATTGGGAATATTATACTATTGTATACTTAATAGTTTATATGATATATATATATATATATATATTTAATTATCTGGTCTTGGGTTGTTTGTGTAAATTGCAATTTTGTGTTACTATAATACACATATGGCCATTGGGGTTATCAAGGGATTAAGGGAATTTATGCATAGAAAATTGTAAATTTTATCGTTTCTTTGATGCATTTGGTTATAGAAACTCTGTGTAGTAATGTTTACTCTATTGTTTCTATGGTATTTAGGGGATGGGTTGGGGTGGGGGGAATTGAGGATATGGGAATTACCATATATAATATGATAAGTATAAGGTATTAACTTAATAGCTTTTGTTAATTGGGTTAGGGGGTTTCATTAACCCCCTTCCCCGCAGTCACGCATTTTAACGCATATGCTATTTCCTATTTCTAATGCAAAATCATGCATATACTGTTTCCCCGCAATCACGCATTTTCACGCACTTTAAAAAGTTCATTGAATCTTCAATTAAATGCCTTTTATTTTATACTTACTTAAATCTAATTAAATAAAAAAAAAGTTATTTTCCTATTAAAATATTACGTCCTAATATTATTTATGCTAAATTTTAGAGAAACATTTACTATGCTATAAAGTGCTTGCAGGGAAATGGTAAGGTCATATTTCTATGACGTGAACGTTAAGTGTATATGTTTCATAACAGTTTAGTAAGTTGTAAAGAGTTAATTATGGTAAACTTGTTAGTTTTTATCGTAGATCTGGGATTATTGGATGTATTTAGAATTTCATGTACTTTTGTATTCCTTATAATTTCTATGATTTTTTTTAGGGGGAAGGGTGAATGGGGTTAGGAAATTTCATTTTTAGGTTCTGTGATTTATTTGGGGTTGGCATTAGGGAATTTCAAGACATATAGTGTAATTGTGTACTTTATTTATGAACTTTGTCTTGGATCATAGAGATTTGCGTGGGTTTTCATGCAGTATTGTATATTTTATAGTTTCAGAATGATAGAGTATCGTATAATGTCTTTTTTTTTTTAATGAATTACCGGTATGTTTTTTTTTTTAAAAATGTATGATTTCTTTTCAGATCATTTGACATTATTGGAGTAAATATGTATAATTATTACATGTAGTACTATGTCATTAATTTATTTTAATCATCTAAAATTTTGGGATTTAGTGGTATTGTTAAATGATACACATTACATGTATAGGGCTAATCTGGGGAGGATTATTGGAATTTACTGTTAAGCTCTAGCTGTACATATCACATTAAAGTATGGGATTTTGGCTGTATAGCATCTAATACATCATGCAAATACATGGCATTTCAATTATGTGGTTAAACACATTCATAGACAATATGACATGCAATACTACAAAAAATTAATGGTTATGGGATTTATACCATTTACAATTCAATTTTGTAATTTGTCTAATTTGTGTGTGTGTGTGGGGGGGGGGGGGGGGGGGGGGCAAGGGGAGCATAGAAATAGAAAAATAATGTTATGGATTTTGTTTAACATTGTATATAATTGTTTTCTATTGTGTTTAAAAATATCGCTTTGTTTCCATGTGATTAATTTACATTTAAATGCATTTACACATTAATGAATTTTTAAGTCATACATAATGATCAATGTTTGATCTTTTCTAGTGAACACTTTGTTCGGTAAAAGTAATCGTGATTAACCAACATGTTTTAGGTGTGCATCATTGAAGAGAATTAAGTCTTGTTCAGAGATTAGAACTGGTTTGTAAGTCAAGTTTGCAGAGATTCAAAGTATGCTCAATCAGTATGGGTTCTAAATTGTTCATTAAGCTTGGTAAACGATAATGTCTCTCCAGAATGATCCAAACTATCCTTCTGTAAATTAATATACGGATGCTTGGATACATGTGCTTAATATACATGTGTTCTGTGTGATACAGCTTTATTTCTATGGCGTTCTTTAAGCTGTGTACTATTGAACCCATACTTGCACATATTGAGTGCCTACACAGATGAATGCTTTGCCTTAAAGCAGGGCGATTGTTTGCTGCATCTGACCTAGTATATTATATGATGCAATCTACACTATTTCATAATTAATGGTTTTTTGGCAAGTAAATGAGAACCAGTTTAGCTTTTGGGGTTCATCCACCTTAAGATTTGTTTTCCGGTGTACATGCATTCACCTTAAGATTTGTTTTCTGGTGTACATTCACCTTAAGATTTGTTTTCCGGTGTACATGCATTCACCTTAAGATTTGTTTTCTGGTGTACATTCACCTTAAGATTTGTTTTCAGCTTTCATGCATTTGTTAGCTTAGTATACTTATATGCTACATGTTATGTATTTATTTTATTTTTATTGTAAATAAATGTGTATTTATATTTTTGGTAGTTGTGTCCTTTTCTGAATGCATCCATTTAGGTAAATGTACATGTAGTCTGTAAATAAGCTGCCTGCACTTGGTTAGAGTGTTGACCCTCACATCAAAGGTTCAAATCCCACAGCGGGATATGGAGAGCCGTTCTTGGGATGAGACCATACCAGTATAAACCAGGTTCTGTGTTGCAGTTTGTGTTGGAGAGAAAAAGTTCCCTCACTGCTTAATGGCCCCCGGGTGCCAAGATGTATAGATGAAGGATATAGAGATAACGAACAGTTATCAATCTCAGAGTCCATTAAACAATACAAAATAGGAGCAGAGGAAACATGGACCTCCGGAACATTGGAGGTGGGATCAGGTGCCATGGAGGAGTGAACATACCCTGCTGACAGGTCACACCCGCTTTGTGCTCCTTGTCATGATCTAAATTGTGCAGACCACCTCCAGCAGTGCTGGGGTCTTTATCTTGAAAGGGGAGTTAAATATACATGCAAACCAGAACTTTGTTATATGGAACAAAATGATATCTTGAATACCATGAAAATGTTGAAGTGATGTAGAAGTCTATCTGCAACACTTAAGTATTTTACCCTTAAATGATTTCTTAAACCTTTGATTTCAATGTTCTTTCTAATTATCACAGTGAGATCAAAGTAATGAGGTTTGATATACATGTACAAAGTGTATTCTACATGTACTTGTTATGTAATTGAAGTACAGAGAATTAAGGTGGAATGCCACACCAACTTTTTATTTTATAGATCTTTGAGTCATCCTTTTAAAACAATGGTTTTAGCATTGAAAGGTCGATATTAGCTCTTAATTATTTTATATGATTTTTTTTGTATTTTTTCAAAGAAAATGAAAAAAATCAATTAAATTCAACTAAGATGTTTTCGAGTTAAAAGTTTGCTGTAAATGAATGTATCATATTAATATCTATTAAAATATGCAAAGAAAGGATTGTTAGACTTTTTAATTTTTGTTATGAAAAAATATTTATGAAAATAAAACACATAATTATTTGTGAATATTTTTTAAACCTATGGTTAAAATCATTATAAAACTAGTCACAACTGAGGACAACATGTTTGTCAATCATATTTTAAAAAGAAATTGAAACGAAATTGAGAAATTTTATAGATATTAATTTTTTTAATATTTGGACCCAACCCGATCAAAATTAAACTGATCCCGATCAAAATTAATACAAAATTAATAAAATGCTAATTTACTGTATCTACAATGAAGAAATCTATTTTATTGTCAGGTTCATTAATGTTTTAATCCTTATCACACTTAATCAGACTAGTGTTCTTTGGGGAAATGTATTTATTTCCAATAAATGTACAATTATTGTTGGGATCGGTTTAATTTTGATCGGGATCGCCCAAAATTAAAAAAAAATAATTTATCTAAAATTTGGCCATTTCGTTTCAATTTCTTTTATAAATATGATTAACGAACATGTTCTCCCCAGTTGTGACTGATTTTAAGAAAATTTTAACCACACATTAAAAAAGACATTAACAAATTATGTGTTTTATTTTCATAAATATTTTTTTTATTTTAAAAAATTAGATATCTATACGGCTTTTCTACACATATTTTATTAGATATTAATGTAATGCATTAATTTACAGCGAAAATTTTAGAAGAAAGCGTCTTATTTTGATGGAAATATTTTTTTTCATTTTGTTTGAAAAAAGACAAAAAAATTCATATAAAATAATTGAGAGCTAATGTCGGCCTTTCAATGCTGAAACCATTGTTTAAAAAGGTTGACTCAGAGATCTATAAAATAAAAATTTGGTGTGGCATTCCTCCTTAACATACACCTTGGTCTCACTTAACTATGATACAAATAGGTCGGTAGGTTTCTTTTAAGGTCACCTGAGTCACCTGTGACCTACTGACCTATTTGTATCAGCTTAATGAGAATCATTGAAATAGCACTGTATGAAATTTACTAAATGTTTTTCAAGTGAAAAGGGAAATAACTCTTATAAACTCAATCAGTTGAAATACTTTTCACAATCGTGAAGAGTTATCTTTCTTATATAACAAATGGTAGAATAATGGAACCAAGTACATTGTATATCTTACAATTCAATTGTAGGTGTTCAGATATGATAATAAGCTTTTGTAAATAGTATAAGAAATAAATTCCTAAAGATATGCTCTTTTCAAATCCTTAAGATCTGTATATGCCGTTCTCTTTGTCCGGAAATTTGTGAAAATTTATATTATATATATATTGATTAAATTATCAGATATTTTCGTTATGAATTTTGGAGAAGACTATCATGCGTCCAGAGCAACTGATTTTATTATATAGAAATCAAGCCTTTAAGCCAAGCTTTAAAATTCTTTGTATGCAGTTGCACTTTAAGACTTGGTAGTTAGGTAGACATTTTTTTTATTTGAAAAAAAAACTGTCTTCAGATTTTGTTAGATAACAAATAAAAGAGCTTTTCATTTATGGAAAGCCAACGGGTTAAAAATTCCAACTCTGTAATTCTTTAAATGTACAATATACACATTCAATGGTCCGAATGTTTTGTTTAAATCATGAACCTGCACGCTCTTCATCATTACATAAACACTTGAAATTTGAAATTTCTTACATAACTTACTGGTTGACAGACATTGCCCGAATATTATATCGTAACGGTGACGGACAAATCGAATGTCTGTCCATGTTACGTGAATCAAACGGTAGCTGCAGATCTGCAGCTCTCCCAAAAAATATATTGACAGACTCTCCGGTCTATCCATATATTTTTGGGGAGAGCTACAGATCTGCAGTTAATCAAACGGGTGCGTTCAAATCGTTTCAAAAATCAAAATAATAAATTTAATCCCTTGAGAAGTAGTATGGATACCAAATATGAAAGATCTAGCTCTCACGGTTCAAAAGTCCTGGCGAAGGTTAAAGTTGAAAATAGAGCTCTGCAGAACTGTAGCTCTCCGAAAAAATACGTATTGACAGACCGGAGAGCTACAGTGACTAAACAACGTCGAGTCAACACTGTGTCAGAATCTCTTACACACGCCTGTCATCTTTTCTGAGTGTACGATTCTTTAGATGAAATTTTTTAATGATCCCAGTCAAATTGTTTTTCTTCATTATCTTACCTTGGAAGAGGGGATGGTGGTTTAACCTTTATTTGAAAGAAAAACCCACTTGAGTTGCCTTTACCCAAGGATATTCTCTGTGTTAAATTTAACTGAAATTGAACCAGTGGTTCTGCAAAAGAAATTGAAATTGTAATGAGGTTTACAACGACGAGGACGACAACGACGATGAAAGACAGATGTCAAATTTTGATCAGAAAAGCCCATTTGAGCCCAGATGAGCTAACAAGTTTAAGACAAATATAAGATTTTAGACTGTTTAAAGTAAAATCATGATTAGAAGAATGGAGAGTCGTCGCATATTATCATACAACCTGGACAAATAATGATTATTTTGGACATTCATCTTCAACGTCGATCATCATCATGGTGTTCGAATATCCGAATGACATTATTTTTAAATAGAGACAGCTAAACATATGCAGTAAAACTCATAGAACGTCAGTCAGTTTTTCTTGAAATATTAAATCACATTAAAAAAAAGTGACCATTCTTAAAAAATTAAAAAATGGTAGACACAAAAATATTCCGAGAGATAAAAAGAGGTAAAATTGACTATCAAGAAAGAAATCTCGAAAATGGTTGATTTTTCAGTCCGTCATTAAGCATGAAATATTTTTAATGGCATGATCTCCTGGAGGACATTCTAATCCTTAATTTGAACTTAATTGGTAATAATGGTACCGGTGACCTTGAAATGTTTGATCACAATATAACTAATAATATTGAAATATATGAACACAATTTGACCTGGAACTGTATGAACAAATGTACATTATGGCCTTAAGTTTTCTCAACTTTTATTTAATTGACCCAAATCTATAGGGTTAAAAAAGAAAATTCAGAAACCTTAATTTACCTCTACAGGACACAAGCAATCACCGTCATAAAAATCAAACGGCTACTGTGTACATTGTAAGAGGAGTTTGAGAAAGAAAAAAAACTTTTTTTTTGTTAAATGTTGTGGTTTATCCGGAAAAAAGAAACATCATAAAATGCAACTGTGCATGTAAAGAATTATAGAAAACCTACCTGTAGCTACTTTGTACATGTGGTGCAATCCCCGCCCCGTCCTTAATGAAATTTCTTCTTCAGAGCTGTCTAGCCACCACATGCCTTATATAACAAGGTAATATAGAGACTCTGTGCCTCCTCCCCCCCCCTCCCCCCTCCCCCCGCTTAACGATTGAAGTAGATCATGCACGGATCTAGTGGGGGTGGGTGGGGATGGGATACTTTTGCAGTGGTGGGGCCATAGGGAATTTTCGCATAACATTTCACTGAAAAAGCTAAAAATTAAAGCTTCTAGAGATACAGTATTGCTCGGAAAGTTTTACAGTCAAACAGAATGAATGAATGTACATGTACTACCTCGAACTTTGACCTTTTGAACTCAAAACCAGTAGGGTCTTTCATAGGACATAGGTAGATGTATTTGTTATGTAAAGTTTCAATGGAAAAGGCTTGGAGACATCGCACGAAAACGAAAGTGTTATAGGCAAAAGTTATAAGGCAGACGGACGAACAATCAGAAAGACCGAAATTAATATCGCCCACTTTCAGTGAAAGCGGGGGATAAAAAAAAAATAATGACCCATTATCATATGATTATGATATCATAAAACAACTTTACGAAACCTAGGAAAACCCATTTCGTTGATTTTTGGAGTCTTTTTAAGTCAGTTTGTTCAAAACAAGACTTTAATATAATTTCTTCCCCATTCTAAGTGGAATCATCGTCTCCAGCCACGGTCCGGAGTGAGCATATAGCTCTCTCTTACATGTGAGGATCGTACATTTTGATCGTGGTTTGCGACGATGAATAGGCGTTTGTCAGTATGTTTTCTATAGGATCCAATGCTATTTATTTGTATCTTCTTCTTAGAAATACTGTATATACAATTGTAAATCTGGAAATTCCATGCAAAAGGGAGAGGGCACAATGATTTAGCCAGCCCCCGTGGAACCAAAAACCGTAGACCTACCGGCACTCTTTCATAATTTTGCAACTTTTAAAAAAATTATTTTTGCACACATTACATTGAAAACTAAGCTAATATACGGTGTATCACTAGTCTCCAGAAAAATCTCTGATTATTGTTTTTCTTGTTTAGATTTTCTGTAAGGCTGTACCCACCTGGACCCCAGTCCTACATTGACCTACATCCCATGGAATAAATAACAGTCTCTAGCTGTCCCGGCCATAAAGAATTGTAAATTTATATAATTCGATTTCATTTTAGAAATTATCTACATGTCTAAGTCTTCTTTCGAAGACAAAAAATATGATACAGATTTCTTGACATTTTTCAGGTTCGGTAGTTTTCGTGAATTTCCGACTTCCGAGTCTACTGGCCACACTTCATGTTTTTCATGCACGAGCGCTTTTGCACACAGTCCTGTAAAAAATAACTTCAACAACAGGGTACGGGGAATGTTCGATTCAATACTCTGGGATTGAGTCTCTTGGATTTGTTATGTCCACGTGAAGATGTACATGTAAGGAGCCGCTCGTTCACCGGTCAACAGAAATTCAGGTAGAGACAAGTGAGTATTGTACAATATATATATACGTACAGTCCTTTAAAAATAGCTTCAAATACAGGGTACACGGAATGTTCGATTCAGAATGCTGGAGAGCTTTGAGTCGTTTTTTTTTATGTCTATACTAGGAATTGTTAGTAGAAGTTCCTCCACCGGTAGAAATTTAGGTAGACAGGCGAGTATTGCTATCTCAGGAAAAAAAAACTTGGAATGGCCTAACGAAAAAAAATATCATTGACCCTAGTCTCCTCAGGAAAACGTTAGTGTAGTGAGTATGTAAGCAGATCTAACGTCTAATTCTAATTAGATCGCTTTGACCCTAGTCTCCTCAGGAAAACGTTAGTGTAGCGAGTATATGTGAGCGGATCTAACATCTAATTCTAATTAGATCGCTTTGACCCTAGTCTCCTCAGGAAAACGTTAGTGTAGCGAGTATGCGAGCGGATCTAACATCTAATTCTAATTATATCGCTTTGACCCTAGTCTCTTCAGTAAAACGCATACCCGATTTTATTGCATGTTTGTTTATAAGTTTTTTATAATTTGTTTTAAGTTTTTTTCTCTTTTCGGTAAATTCAATAAATTCCTATTCCTAATAAATTTGTTTAGTTAGTGTATGTGGACCATTGGCGTCGGAAGCAAATAGAAGGGGGGGGGGGTTAAGTGTAATGATTTTTTTTAGACCCTTCAAAATTACAAGTCTAACAAGCAAAAAAAAAACAAACAAAAAAAATAAACACAAAAAAAAAAACAACAACAAAAAACAAAACAACGAAAATCCAATTTCGTTGGGGTGGGGTGGGGGCTCGAACTTCTTTCAGTATCAATTTTTATATTTTTTGTTCCGAACACCACCACTTTCCCTATTTTTTTTTAATTACCAATACTGCGACGTGTCTGTGGAAAGTGAGGGGCCAAACCTACACCGCAATGTTTAAAGCCTAGCTAATACTAAGTCCATGTTTGGAAAAAAAAGTGGTGGTGGGGGGCTAAACCCCCATAGTACCCCCCCCCCCGGTTCCGACGCCCATGTGGACCGACCGTCACCCTTCTAGATCTACCGTGAGATCTAAAGGGGTCGGTGACACCTTTGAAAAATGTATGCTAACATTTTGAGTAACAATATGTTAAACAGATCAATGAAGGAAAAGTTTTGGATTAACAAAAAAAAATACCAATGTGGAGAAAAAATATGCAAAACATGACTTGGCAAAGATAATTTAAAGAAGGACTGGCATGAGGGAATGCTTTTTTTTTGTTTACTCTGTATACAGATTGTTCGTGGGGCCAATGTACTGCGTGAAATAACATCGGGATCGTAATACTGGAACGCCATTTGTGTGACATGTCCGTGGCGGGAAAGGAGAGGATGATCAGAGGGCCAGTGAGACGATGTTTAATGAGCCACATGATACTGATTATAGGTATATCTGTTTTTATTTTTAAAAGCTCAAGCAAAATGAATTTTTATCTCTACTGGTCCGAGAACAGAAGCGCTTATCGCCTTGTTTGATAGTGTGACGTTTACAAGGTCTTTGTCTGTCTGTTAACAATTTTACAAAATGCTTTTTTTATCCTCACAGTTTTCAAATTTTTAATGTGTCCAACGTCTTTTGGAGGGTCTGTTCATATATTTGCCTATAAAATACATTATTTTTAGGGACAAATTTCATTTTTTCTTCATTAAACATAGTTGAAGAGTTCAAAACTGAATAAGAAAAATATATAGCTGTTCACCCTCATTTTTCACTTTTATAAAAGGTCAGTTTTTTAAGCATTTGATTTCAATGAAATATTCGAGTCTCAGTATATCCAATGTTGAAATAACCATGCACCTAAGGTGCGGATCTATTTTTTTCCCAAAGGGGGGGGTCCCAACCCAGTCAAGGTGACAAGCAAAAAAACAACAAACTTTTACTCAAACCCTCTTTTGGTGGGAGGGGGGTGGGTGGTCATTGACTTTTCAAACTTCATACTAATTCCACATAGATCTGTTTCTGACGAATTTTTTCCAGCAGTAAGCCCTGCATGCGCTATATGGGTGTCTAACTTACATATATTATTTTATGATTTATTTTACTCGTTCTTTGATGTTAAGGAAAAAAAATGTTTGATTAAAATCTACTGAACATGCTGAATGAAAGGACATTTTTTTCAGTTGAGCATGTCAGATGTATCTTCCTGTCTTCCTGTCAACATGTGAAACCCATGTGAATTTTAGGATAGGTATGTCTATAACATATTTTTTTAGCTCACCTGGAGTGAGCTTTTCTGATTGAAATTTGGCCGTTGTCTGTGGTGTTCATATTCTCAACTTCTTCTCAAGACCCTCTGAGTCAATTTTAACCAAACTTACAAAAAGTATCCATGGATGGGGATGGGGATGAAGGCAATTCACATTTGTTCAAACAAAGGTTAACTCCATCTTCCTGGAATAAAAAAATTGATGGTATCTTTTTACATTTCTTCTCAAGAACCACTTAGGTCAAAAAAGTTTAAACATGTTGAACCTTCTCAAAATATTGTAGATTCAAATATATGTTCATTCAAATCATGACTCCCTGGGTAAAGTGGGGCTTCAACAGTGCTCCAAGTCACACTTGCTCTTAGGTCGCAAAAAGGCGACCTAAAATTTTTTTTGGTCGCCATTTCAGAATATCTGGTCGCCATAATAAAAAATTTCACTTGCCATAAAAAAATATATTTTGTGAATAAAACTTGATAAATTAAATAAGGATATGTATTATGTCTTTATTATATCAAAGATTACTTATTACTGTGACTATAAAAATTTGCTAGGTTGAATGAAATATTTTTATTGAATACATGTACCCTTATGGTTGTACAGAAGAACACAAGTAAATCTGATTACAGAAATAAAATTTTATCAAATGAAAATACAAGCTTGACAGCTGTTGAGACAGGACTTTGCCTGCCGTTTGTCATGTTTACTTCCTACTACGTACCTAACCCATTACCCAGTCATTATAAATGCTGCCAAAACACTCTTTATTAGCATGATTCATTATGATATGCAAGCAATTGATCAAATGCTTCAATAACAAGGTCGGATCTTAGAAAGTTTACGAAGTTTGGATGCCATTCTATCAGAAACATTATTTATACACGTCTCTGGTTCTATCAAACTTTGTACAGCATGCTGCCATAACATCACGTGATCTAAGTCCATGTGACGCTTTGTAAAGTGTATTTAAGTACTGTATATGTCTTCAAACATTTTCTTGATAGAGAATCTTTCGATCCCGGTCTTAAAAATTGACATTTCAAGCCCAAATTTTCTCAGTCGCGAAAATGCGAGTGTATTTTCATTTTTAGTCGCAAAATCAATTTTTTGGTCACAAATGCGATCATTTTAGTCGCAACTTGGAGCACTGTTCAATGGGGGATTAAAGTTTGACACAGAAATATTTAAGAAAAAATCTTTAAAAATCTTCTTTAAAAAGACAGCAAAGCTTTAATTGTGCCATAATGTTTCATCAAATTTATATTGAAGCATCCTCAGGTAATGTAAATTAGGTTTGATCAATTATGTTTTGATGCCCTTGGAGCTAGGGCAAAGCCTCAATAAAATATCAAATGTCAGATGAACATCTGTGATTTATATTGAAACTCATTGATACTGAACTGGTATCAGGTGAGCAATGTGGCCCATGGGCCTCTAGTTTTTGATAATTTTTTTTTAATTTTCATTTACACTATTATCTGATGAAATACTTGTTTTTAATTTAGACTTGATTATTAAAGGTATACATTTACATTTATACAGTGAAACAGATTTATAGACAGTGCCAGGGACAGATGATTTTACTTCACTATTGTCTATATAGATGTATCTGTTAAGTTTACAATATATTTTAAAGCCATGGGGAATAAGAACCATGACTTTTCTGTACATGTCGATTCATTTTGAGTGTTTGCTATTGCCATTTTATACTGTAGAAAAACGTAGTTGTAAGAATCATGGGTAATTTTTATTTTGACAACATTTTCTCTGATTTCAGGAGTAGTCTCCCCTGTTAAAGATCATCCATGGTGTACATACATTGCAGGATGCTGTCTGGTCATCAACAGAAAGTCTTGACGCTGTATTTCTACCAATCACCACTGTAAACTTTGTTACAGACAGGTAAGTAAAAACAAGATAATTATTGAAAATAATTTTATTAAAGGTTAAGAATACAAAATAGCTAGAACCTAAAATTGTACAGACTCCCCTGCTAAATGTCACATTTTATACATGATCATGATGATTATAGAACATTTACATATCTGAATTGACTTTGAAATGAAGAGAATCATAACATAATAAAACAATTATTGCGCATGTTGCATGATATACCAGGGCTCTCGATTCTCTAAAATTGGGGCAGTTCAACGGCCCCGTTCCCAATGCAAAAAAGGTACCTTTTTTCCCAAAAGAAAGGTGTAAATTTCCCAATTTTCATAGCAGAATATTAATTAAAAAATAAAAGTCCATGAAACTTAATCGCAAAAAAAAAACAAACAAACAAAACACACTTGAAAATGAAAGTGAAACTGTACCACTATTTTATTAGTTCGCGCCAAATGCATTCGTAAACTGGTTCGGGGAACCAGGTTATTGTTTTTACCGAAATGTGTACTATGAGTTCAGAGTATCTTGTCATGTATTAAAGTTTCGACAAAAAAACATCATTTTGGTTTCAAAAAAGACATTTCACTTAAATATTAGTAAGCTGCACGTAGAAACGTACCCATGCACGCTTCGGCATGATCAATCTCGTGCTATATTGGTAAGCAACTTTGTCCATGTGATCGAAGAAATTTGGGACAATGTGACTAGCGACTGTCACTCAGAAAGACAGATAACCGCAATATCAACACTCAAAGATAGTAATGACAAAGCTAATGTACTTTCATAAATAGCCTACGTACCCATGTTTGATCTGTATTCAAAACCAGAGTTAAATAGATGACAAAATGCTAGAAAAGCAAAATTTGAGGATTTTTTAAAATGAATTTTGGTTATCCAACTTTTCCCAAAATGATGGTAATTTTCCCAATTTGAACACCCCGGCCCCAGTCCCAAAAAGTGGTGTGAGAGCCCTGTATACAATTTACAGAACGTGAAATAAATATGAATTTCATCTTAATTTGGATTTGCGAGTGATTTATAGTGATGCTTAATTTTTCTTGAGTGAATATCTTTAAAGTCTAAAGTTTTTCAAAGAAATTTTTATTAGAAAATTTGGGCTCACCTGATTGATTGATTGCGTGTTGTTTAACATCCGTCTCTAGAATTTTTCACTCATATGGAGAAGCCACCATTTGCCGGTAGAGAACTACCAATTTTTTCCTTTGCTCGGCACTCAACGGGATTTGAACCCGAGACCTAAGGATCAACTTCTTACTTTGCGACTCTAGAGCAGACGCTCTAACCACTGTGCCACGCGGGCGACCAAAGGAATTTGGTAGTATCCACAGGGAGTGTAAATTTAAATAAAGTCTGTTCAAATCATAACCCCCTCCCCCCTGAGACCACTTCTATAAATAAACTTTTCAATACTGAACTGATATCTGCTTTTTCCCTAGCAAAAGATCTCATATGAGTATGTGGCCTCTTGTTTGCTTTTGAAGTAATTTTTTCCACTTTGTTGTTGATTTAGATGATGAACCACTCTACTTCCTTTGAAAACAGGTGTCCATACAGATTCCCAAAGTTCCAATGTTGAGTATCCATAAGCCTTAATCAATGAGTACAGTTTTTATGTATTCTACTTTCAAAAAAATTCTAGTAAATACTTAAAATACATTTGGATGTTGATTTTTAAAATATGGTCCATTTTACAATTTTAGATTATGATATTTCAATTCTATCAAGATTTTTTGGTCCAAAAGAAATTTTTTTTTTACAATCTCTTAACAAACATAAGTGTTCCTCATCCATGTTATTACGTTTGAATCAAAGTCAGTAAGCACCACTGATGTTTTCTACCTCTTTTCAGCCCAGGAAAAGCTGTCAAGTTGACAGGACTTTCCACACTGTTCCAGGTATCGGTTAAGAATGGAACAGTCCGCAGTAGACATAGCCACCTTCATCAAAGGTAAGTCTTCAGAATGGTACGTGTAGCAATTCTTATGTGTTGTCCTGAACTGAAGCTTCAGTTTTCTGCATGGATTCACAGGGCTGATCATCTTTGTACTCTTCTGCCCCTTGTGAGGAATGTTTCCTTCTTAGCTCACCTGGAGGAAGTCCAGATGAGCTTATGCTATACCCCCAGCATTGGTGTCAACATAAGCATCAGTGTACCAGGTTAAAGGTCTAGAAGCAAGTCCATTCCCATGTAACTACTGTAAAAGCACAAATATTCCTGGGGGATTAAATTTCAATTATTTCATTGAAAACAATTATGAACAATATTAAATCCCACACAAAATTTTACATGACTATATATTGAATAGGGTTACTTTCAAAACAACGAAATTAATGCCTTACCTGAACCAAACTTGCATGGATGATGACACTACTATACTTGCTTCGGATGCTGGATCTGTCCTACATTTTCCAGATGAGTGACCAGGTTATTTCCAAGAAACTATAAGCCCTACCTGGACCAAACTTGCATGGATAATACATCTAAGGATGGACAACAGTCTACGCGAAAGTTGAAAATTTTTACAGGACAAAATGTCTGGTAAAAATAAAATTTTTACCAGACCAAGCAATTTTTTACCAGACCGACTTTTTTCCTTTAAATCTATACATCATTATGATACTGAAATTGAGAGGGTGGGTGGGATGGGGTTAATTCTCAATTTAACCTTATAAATAAATTCAAAGTGAAATGGACAAGTTAACTATTTATAATTTTCATTTGTAAAAGGTATCTATTTATACAATTGCATGCATTTTTTTCCTTCATATTTGACTTATACAACATACATTGTATCAAATATTTTCTAGATTTAATATGCACTTTCAATGCATATTTATTTTTCTTAAAACAACTCATTATGGTTACTCAAGTTCAATGAAAAAAGTTTCCAACCGAATCTACGAATGAGCTATCTAAATATTTTCCCAACCAATTCTACGTATGAGCTATCTAACATGTCTAAAGATCTCTAACCCTTGACAGAGAAAATTCGAATTAGAATAAAAACGATCATGACAGGGTTGTAATACATAAAAATTAATCAGGTATTACTGCTGAATTGGTCAAATAAAGGATATTTGTGGGGAATTAGACCATGTGTACCTCTTAATTTTGATTTATTTGGCTTTATTTTTTACCGGACATTTGGTCCTGTATACTGAAATTTTTTACCGACCCGACCTAAATTTTACCGGTAAAAACCGACGGTCCGGTGACTTTCGCATAGACGGGGACAATCAAGACTTGCTTTGGATGCTGGATCTGACCTGAATTTTTCAAACAAGTGACTAGGTTTAAGTTTTTGGAACAGGTCAATCCCCAAGGAACTATAAGACTTATTTAAACTATTTCTCAGGATAAATACCTACTATTGAGAAAATATGATGTACATTTGCATTACTTAAACTGATAACATTTGTCGAGATGAGCTTCGTAATATTTGTTACCTATATGTTTAGTTCACGTCAAAAAAGTTAAGGAGAGCTTTTGGTAAACTTTCAGTGTAGGTGTCCTAGGATAAGGTTTAGGGAGCATTTAAAAAAAAAATATTTCTAGTAAGTTTCTTTGTACCAGTTAAGTTTTAAGATGCTGCAATTTCAGCTAAAGAATGACCAGGTTAATGTTTTCAGAGTAGGCTTTTAAGCATGTCCAGAAATAGATTACTAACCAAGCTCTATGATAAATAAGATGATTTAAACTTTTCAATTGTCAACTTCCCTTAATTATGAAGCAATAAACTTTCATCACCTGCTAATGGTCATATCTTTGGGTTGAATTGATGTGCAATAACGTGCTCTATGTATGTGCAATTTCTAAAACTAGGTAAATTATTGAAAATTTCAAAACAAGAATACAGCAGTTTTGTTTAAAGTCATCATTTTCTAAGTTCTATGGTCAATAAAATGACTTTGTCAGCAAATACAATTTATCATTGAGTAAAAATGATGTCTGATGTTTTTTATACCAATTATTAGTCCATTATTCACACACTGAATTGATGACAGATTTTTCTGTTATTTCCTGATCAAGACAATGAGCACACGGCGGCTTTGACGGGTCAGCAGGGGATGCTCATTCCTCCATGACACCTGATCCCACCTCTGATGTTTCGGAGGTCTGTGTTTGCTCTGCTCCTATTTTGTATTGTTTTATGGACTTTTGTTTGTTATCTCTTTATATTTCATTGAATAACTTGACATGATGATGATTTCTGTATTGCTGTACATCTGCAATAGTTGCATCTGTTTGAAACAAATTTCCTTTTGTGGAATCAGGGAAGCTTGTTGTAGAACTACTAGTACTTGTATTTACAAAACTATGTTTTACTGATTCATATGTATCTTACATTTCATACATTATACTGACACTATAAACCCTGCTGTTCTTTGCCATTACTTTAAGGGTCTGAATGATTATAAACAATCGCAGTCCATTTAAGATGAGTTGTACATAAAAATTCTATATTAAGCTTAAAAAAAAGTTTGTTTCCTGTAACATTCCAAAAAAATCAAGGGTCGGAAGAAGGTCGGAATTTTTTTTTTTTTGCTTATGAATGATCAAACATCCCCAAAATGGCTGTTTAGCGGCAGAAAATGAATTTTACAAAATGATGTTTCCCAGAAAACTTTATATAATTAAAAAACTTTGCAAAAATTCTATTGAACTGAAAGTTCCATTTTTCACCAATTGATTTATGTGTCTTGATCAAACATTATTTTGTTTAACTAATTAACTAACTAATGTGAATCTTACTATCCATCTGAAATGTTCCTATACAAGTAAAAGTAGCCTGTACTGAGTACAAATTAACATGATTAAGTCTGCAATAAAATAGATGTAACATATACATGCATGTGTTTGCATTGATGCTGTAAATGTCAATTCATTTTGAGTGTTTGCTTTAGCCGTATAATACTGTAAAGAAAATATTTTCTTGTTTGGAACCTAGTTGTAAGAATCATGGGTAATTTTTATTTTGACAACATTTCCTCTGATTTTAGGAGTAGTCTCCCCTGTTAAAGAACTTCCATGGTGTATAAACATTGTGGGATGCTGCCTGGTCATCAACAGAGAGTCTTGACGCTGTATTTCTACCAATCACCACTGTAATCTTTGTTACGTTCAGCAGGTTTCACTGTATTTTGCATTATTTACCTTTCATAAAATTATTTTCAATAATTATCTTGTTTTTTTTCTCACCTGTCTGCTAAACATAACAAAGGTAACAGAGGATTGTTTTATACTCAGGTGACCATTAAAGGATTTGAGAAGAGTACAGATTCTTGAAATCATCCACACGGAAAGATAACAATAGACCTGAAAGAAGTCAGACGGCCTGCTTTGATTAAGGTAAGGGTATCTGTTTCTGGCCTCATGCCTATAGGGTGCAGATGTTAGGTATGGTTTAGGACTTCTCCATTAAGCTCTTAGGGGTCATCATTTTCTGTTAGGATGGTAGAGTTTTGGGTTGGAATATGTAGCATAGGGGGTCATCCTTTTCTATTGGGAGGGGTAGATTATAGAGGGAGGTCGTGTAGGTAGCCCCTTTGTATTGGTTAAACTTCTTTGTGTTTGATTGGTTAAGCCCCTTGGGTTGTCATCTTGTGTTGGAGTTGGCGTATATAGGTTGTAGGTTTCTCGTTTTGTATTAGGAGGGTTGGGTTAAGAAAGGTGGTCTTTTAAGTTAGTGACTCCCTTTGTATTTGATTGGTTAAGCCCCTTTGAGGTCAGGGGACTTTGTAGAATAGACCTCCAGCCCATTAGGGGCTTGTCGACAGAGGGGTGTTATTTAATGGTTAAACTTAGGCCCTGAATTTTCGGGAAGGCTTGACTTTGAGTTGGTGTGTGCTTAAAAAGTTGAAGCTTTGCTGAAAATTCTTCCCTTTAGCTGTAAGGAGGAATGGGTTGGAAGGTGGGCTAGTTTGATAGGGTCTTTATATGTGAGTAAGATGGGATTATGGTTTGGGAATTGTCTATTTAGCTCTTGGGGGTCATAATTTTCTGTTAGGAGGGTGTAGATTTGGGGTTGGAATATGTAGCATAGGGGGCATCCTTTTCTGTTGGGAGGGCTAGAGTCTAGAGGTTGGTTGTGTAGGTAGCCCCATTGTATTGGTTAAACTTCTTTGTGTTTGATTGGTTAAGCCCCTTGGGTTGTCATCTCTTGTTATTAGTATGGGGTTGGAGTTGGTGTATTTGGGTTGTAGGGTTTCTCATTTTATATAAGAGGGTGGAGTTAGGAATGGTTTGGGAATTGTCTATTTAGCTCTTGGGGGTCTTCATTTTCTGATAGGAGGGTAAAGTTTTAGGGTTAGGATATGTAACATTGGGGGTCATCCTTTTCTGTGGGGAGGGGTAGGTTATAGAGGGAGGTCGTGTAGGTAGCCCCTTTGTATTGGTTAAACTTCTTTGTGTTTGATTGGTTAAGCCCCTTGGGTTATCATCTTTTGTTATTAGTATAGGGTTGGAGTTGGTGTATTTGGGTTGTAGGGTGTTTGTTTTGTATTAGGAGGGTGGGGATAGGAAGGGTTTGGGAATTGTCTATTTAGCTCTTGGGGGTCTTCATTTTCTGTTAGGAAGGTAGAGTTTTGGGTTGGAATATGTAGCATAGGGGGTCATCCTTTTCTATTGGGAGGGGTAGATTATAGAGGGAGGTCGTGTAGGTAGCCCCTTTGTATTGGTTAAACTTCTTTGTGTTTGATTGGTTAAGCCCCTTGGGTTATCATCTTGGGTTGGAGTTGGCGTATATAGGTTGTAGGTTTCTCGTTTTGTATTAGGAGGGTTGGGTTAAGAAAGGTGGTCTTTTAAGTTAGTGACTCCCTTTGTATTTGATTGGTTAAGCCCCTTTGAGGTCAGGGGACTTTGTAGAATAGACCTCCAGCCCATTAGGGGCTTGTCGACAGAGGGGTGTTATTTAATGGTTAAACTTAGGCCCTGAATTTTCGGGAAGGCTTGACTTTGAGTTGGTGTGTGCTTAAAAAGTTGAAGCTTTGCTGAAAATTCTTCCCTTTAGCTGTAAGGAGGAATGGGTTGGAAGGTGGGCTAGTTTGATAGGGTCTTTATATGTGAGTAAGATGGGATTATGGTTTGGGAATTGTCTATTTAGCTCTTGGGGGTCATAATTTTCTGTTAGGAGGGTGTAGATTTGGGGTTGGAATATGTAGCATAGGGGGCATCCTTTTCTGTTGGGAGGGCTAGAGTCTAGAGGTTGGTTGTGTAGGTAGCCCCATTGTATTGGTTAAACTTCTTTGTGTTTGATTGGTTAAGCCCCTTGGGTTGTCATCTCTTGTTATTAGTATGGGGTTGGAGTTGGTGTATTTGGGTTGTAGGGTTTCTCATTTTATATAAGAGGGTGGAGTTAGGAATGGTTTGGGAATTGTCTATTTAGCTCTTGGGGGTCTTCATTTTCTGATAGGAGGGTAAAGTTTTAGGGTTAGGATATGTAACATTGGGGGTCATCCTTTTCTGTGGGGAGGGGTAGGTTATAGAGGGAGGTCGTGTAGGTAGCCCCTTTGTATTGGTTAAACTTCTTTGTGTTTGATTGGTTAAGCCCCTTGGGTTATCATCTTTTGTTATTAGTATAGGGTTGGAGTTGGTGTATTTGGGTTGTAGGGTGTTTGTTTTGTATTAGGAGGGTGGGGATAGGAAGGGTTTGGGAATTGTCTATTTAGCTCTTGGGGGTCTTCATTTTCTGTTAGGAAGGTAGAGTTTTGGGTTGGAATATGTAGCATAGGGGGTCATCCTTTTCTATTGGGAGGGGTAGATTATAGAGGGAGGTCGTGTAGGTAGCCCCTTTGTATTGGTTAAACTTCTTTGTGTTTGATTGGTTAAGCCCCTTGGGTTATCATCTTGGGTTGGAGTTGGCGTATATAGGTTGTAGGTTTCTCGTTTTGTATTAGGAGGGTTGGGTTAAGAAAGGTGGTCTTTTAAGTTAGTGACTCCCTTTGTATTTGATTGGTTAAGCCCCTTTGAGGTCAGGGGACTTTGTAGAATAGACCTCCAGCCCATTAGGGGCTTGTCGACAGAGGGGTGTTATTTAATGGTTAAACTTAGGCCCTGAATTTTCGGGAAGGCTTGACTTTGAGTTGGTGTGTGCTTAAAAAGTTGAAGCTTTGCTGAAAATTCTTCCCTTTAGCTGTAAGGAGGAATGGGTTGGAAGGTGGGCTAGTTTGATAGGGTCTTTATATGTGAGTAAGATGGGATTATGGTTTGGGAATTGTCTATTTAGCTCTTGGGGGTCATAATTTTCTGTTAGGAGGGTGTAGATTTGGGGTTGGAATATGTAGCATAGGGGGCATCCTTTTCTGTTGGGAGGGCTAGAGTCTAGAGGTTGGTTGTGTAGGTAGCCCCATTGTATTGGTTAAACTTCTTTGTGTTTGATTGGTTAAGCCCCTTGGGTTGTCATCTCTTGTTATTAGTATGGGGTTGGAGTTGGTGTATTTGGGTTGTAGGGTTTCTCATTTTATATAAGAGGGTGGAGTTAGGAATGGTTTGGGAATTGTCTATTTAGCTCTTGGGGGTCTTCATTTTCTGATAGGAGGGTAAAGTTTTAGGGTTAGGATATGTAACATTGGGGGTCATCCTTTTCTGTGGGGAGGGGTAGGTTATAGAGGGAGGTCGTGTAGGTAGCCCCTTTGTATTGGTTAAACTTCTTTGTGTTTGATTGGTTAAGCCCCTTGGGTTATCATCTTTTGTTATTAGTATAGGGTTGGAGTTGGTGTATTTGGGTTGTAGGGTGTTTGTTTTGTATTAGGAGGGTGGGGATAGGAAGGGTTTGGGAATTGTCTATTTAGCTCTTGGGGGTCTTCATTTTCTGTTAGGAAGGTAGAGTTTTGGGTTGGAATATGTAGCATAGGGGGTCATCCTTTTCTATTGGGAGGGGTAGATTATAGAGGGAGGTCGTGTAGGTAGCCCCTTTGTATTGGTTAAACTTCTTTGTGTTTGATTGGTTAAGCCCCTTGGGTTATCATCTTGGGTTGGAGTTGGCGTATATAGGTTGTAGGTTTCTCGTTTTGTATTAGGAGGGTTGGGTTAAGAAAGGTGGTCTTTTAAGTTAGTGACTCCCTTTGTATTTGATTGGTTAAGCCCCTTTGAGGTCAGGGGACTTTGTAGAATAGACCTCCAGCCCATTAGGGGCTTGTCGACAGAGGGGTGTTATTTAATGGTTAAACTTAGGCCCTGAATTTTCGGGAAGGCTTGACTTTGAGTTGGTGTGTGCTTAAAAAGTTGAAGCTTTGCTGAAAATTCTTCCCTTTAGCTGTAAGGAGGAATGGGTTGGAAGGTGGGCTAGTTTGATAGGGTCTTTATATGTGAGTAAGATGGGATTATGGTTTGGGAATTGTCTATTTAGCTCTTGGGGGTCATAATTTTCTGTTAGGAGGGTGTAGATTTGGGGTTGGAATATGTAGCATAGGGGGCATCCTTTTCTGTTGGGAGGGCTAGAGTCTAGAGGTTGGTTGTGTAGGTAGCCCCATTGTATTGGTTAAACTTCTTTGTGTTTGATTGGTTAAGCCCCTTGGGTTGTCATCTCTTGTTATTAGTATGGGGTTGGAGTTTGTGTATTTGGGTTGTAGGGTTTCTCATTTTATATAAGAGGGTGGAGTTAGGAATGGTTTGGGAATTGTCTATTTAGCTCTTGGGGGTCTTGATTTTCTGATAGGAGGGTAAAGTTTTAGGGTTAGGATATGTAACATTGGGGGTCATCCTTTTCTGTGGGGAAGGGTAGGTTATAGAGGGAGGTCGTGTAGGTAGCCCCTTTGTATTGGTTAAACTTCTTTGTGTTTGATTGGTTAAGCCCCTTGGGTTATCATCTTTTGTTATTAGTATAGGGTTGGAGTTGGTGTATTTGGGTTGTAGGGTGTTTGTTTTGTATTAGGAGGGTGGGGATAGGAAGGGTTTGGGAATTGTCTATTTAGCTCTTGGGGGTCTTCATTTTCTGTTAGGAAGGTAGAGTTTTGGGTTGGAATATGTAGCATAGGGGGTCATCCTTTTCTATTGGGAGGGGTAGATTATAGAGGGAGGTCGTGTAGGTAGCCCCTTTGTATTGGTTAAACTTCTTTGTGTTTGATTGGTTAAGCCCCTTGGGTTATCATCTTGGGTTGGAGTTGGCGTATATAGGTTGTAGGTTTCTCGTTTTGTATTAGGAGGGTTGGGTTAAGAAAGGTGGTCTTTTAAGTTAGTGACTCCCTTTGTATTTGATTGGTTAAGCCCCTTTGAGGTCAGGGGACTTTGTAGAATAGACCTCCAGCCCATTAGGGGCTTGTCGACAGAGGGGTGTTATTTAATGGTTAAACTTAGGCCCTGAATTTTCGGGAAGGCTTGACTTTGAGTTGGTGTGTGCTTAAAAAGTTGAAGCTTT